CAGAGGATTGACTCGAATTATTTAATCTTACAGAATTCCCTCTGTGACTATTCTCGATCAAGCTTTATGTGCTGGTTCTACACTCTGGGGTTAGTGGAGGACTTCATTGTACGGCCACGGACATTAAAAGGAGATCGTCGCGACGCACTCAAGAAACCGAATGGTCCTCAGGGTGGGGGAGGTACGATTCATGGTTTCTTGTAGGAGGTTCTGGGCAGGCTATAACTGAAATGAGAGGAATGGGGAAATGCTTATACAAATAAGTAAAAAAATGTACACAATTAATAATAATAATAAAATAAATCCATTAAAGAGAGGTTTGAGGTGTTTTGTGTAAGTGCGTCTGTGTGTAATGTTGTTCATCCGTAGCGGCGTCTGACCTTACGTGGGGTGCCATGTGTGCCCGTAGATACAAACTAGCTGAGGGCTGTAGTGACAAGGTCAAGAGTCCTGGACATGTTTAACGTCAGGGCATATATGCACACATACACACACACACAACACACACACACACACACACACACACACACACACACACACATATATATATATATATATATATATATATATATATAATATATATATATATATATATATATATAAATACATGTATATATGCACACACACACACACACACACACACGCATATACATAATCACACATATACACACACATTTATTTGTGGTCTAAAAGTACCATCTTATAGAAAATACAAGTTAGTAATATCATTAAATTTCCAGCGTTTCCTCCTTTAAATGCTACATTTATATAATTTTCTAATGCGGAAGAAAACATGAGAAGCATCGTTTCACTTTTTTCAGAAGAAAAGAAAATCAAGTATTAAAAAAAAATCTTTTACTTGATCCGGTGTTAAAAAAAAGAAAAAAAAATCTTGCCAAGTAATGGTCACAGATTAAGAAGCCACCGAGCATTTGTGAGAGGGCAATAGTGCACATGTGAATGGCGTTCTGTATATAAGACGATGAACATTTTGGATAGGCACAGTCACCCACCATGAAGCTTCTGGTGAGTTGTAACCTCCCAAGTTGTGTATAGTTACAATGAATTATGGTTCACATGTGGAGCCTTCTTTTGGGCAAAATGCTATTGTATTGCTACATAGTAAATTCACACACAACACAATGTATAAATACATGCATGTAACAATTCCACAGATCACCTCGCTTTTCATCGTTATTGCGGGGGCAGCACCCGACGGATACGGTAGTGGAGGAGGAGTCTCTGGCGGTGGAGGATTCTCCAGTGGTGGAAGTGGAGGATTCTCTGGAGGAGGATTCTCCGGAGGAGGCGGTGGATCTTTTGGAGGAGGATTTTCCGGTAGCGGAGGATTCTCTGGAGGTGGTGGATTTTCCGGTGGAGGAGGTGGCAGTGGAGGATCTGGATATGGAGGAGGAGGATGCAATGCAGGAGAAGTTCTGCATGTTGACGGCTCCTGTGTCGTTCCTATAATCTCACGCAACGTATTTGTCTATGACGCTCCCGAACAGCAAGAAGAAAGCGGTCCACCGCCAAGTATTCCTCCACCAAGAATCGACCACAACATCCTATTTGTCCGCGTTCCTGAGAAGGGAGCAGCGCCCGAGCCAATCATCGTTCCTCCACCAAGGCAACAGAGCGTGGTGTACGTCCTGAACAAGGACGATGGAGGAGGAGGACAGCAAGTGATCGAAGTGACAGCTCCTCCCCCGTCCAACCCTGAGGTTTACTTCGTCAACTATGCTGAAGGAGACAACCCTCAACTGCCCATTGGAGTTGATCTCCAGACTGCTCTCCAAGCGGCTGCCAACGGCGGAGGACAAGTCATCGGCGGAGGCGGAGGAGCAGGCGGATTTGGCGGTGGTTCTGGAGGCGGATTTGGCGGTGGTTCTGGAGGCGGATTTGGCGGTGGTTCTGGAGGCGGCTTTGGCGGTGGTTCTGGAGGCGGATTTGGCGGTGGTTCCGGCGGCGGATTTGGCGGTGGTTCTGGAGGCGGATTTGGCGGTGGTTCTGGAGGCGGATTTGGCGGTGGTTCCGGTGGTGGATTTGGCGGTGGTTCAGGCAGTGGCAGTGGACTTGGCGGTAACTATAGTCCTCCAGCTCCTTCAAGTGAATATTCTAGTCCATAAGTGACTGGTAATGATTGATGTTATTTTCCATATGACTAAGTAGGTCATTGCTAAGTGTAGATATTATAAACGTGTCTTTATTGTTGAATTTTATTTTAATATTTACAAGATAAACGGACAAAAAAACGTTGAGCCTTACTTATCCTTTCTCTCTCTTATTATAATCAGCATTATTTGAAAGTTATTTTCAAATCATGTTAGGACCAAAGGTGCTTATATATTTCAATAAAACAGGAAGAATAAATATAGTGCGATATTTATTTGGAAGAAAAGGTTGCTGAAGACCTTTAAGGAGTTAGTGTGACATTTGTACAAGACAACGTAACAGAGTACCATATTTTTTATATAGATATGAAATATTACAACAAAAAATA